AAGCGTCAAACATTATTTGTGTTTCCTTTTTGGTTGTTGTTGGTTATTCCCCGCCACCCCTCTTTATCCTCAACATTATTCACTTTCTATTTATTAGAATGATTCAAATAAAATTTTGTAAGCTATCAATGGCGGTCGATATCGGAGAATGAATTCGATCTGTGGGCACGATTCACGATCAGAGGCTCCAGACGGAGAGAAGACTCCCCCAGTGGGGAGATGCCATCCGCCTGGAATACCTCTAGAGGCAGTCGCCAATTCTCGGCTTGAGGTCCCCTTAGAAACTCGCCGTCCTCAAACCCGGTCATCTGCGACCAACAGCATACACACTCAGAAAAAAGTATAATTTATACCGTATATTTTTCCATTGTATTGTTTTCGAAACACTATTTATTTATTCAATTAAAAGGTATTCTTGAATAATAATTAACTCGTTATTGTTAATAATTATACAAATATATTCTGAATTCACCTAACTTTAGTTAAGAACATACAAAACTCGTAAATTTAAGCTGATTTGGATAATTTCTTACTTTTGAGGGTGATCATTGATTTCTTCACAATGAAATGAAGTCACAACTTGTACTGACTCATAATCAAACAAATAGTGTAACGTTAACAATAGCAGCTATCAATCACAAATTTTGTAAAAACTCCCTTTATCTTAATATACCTAAAGAAAAAGAAAGAAAAAAAAACGTTTTATTCGCCTTCACAGCGATAATTTAGAAGTACAAAATGGATAAATAACAGTCAAAACATAGACAATAATAAAAAATAAAAAAAACTAATTTCTAGGTTCGTGCCGTGTAAGGCCAATAGGGCGCTGCCTCAGCCACGGTTAATATTACCGTGCCTCAGCTATGCTCTGTCACGGTAATATGATTTTCAGTCACTCTCCCACACATACTTTATACTTAAATTGTTTCAAAAAATAAATAATAGCTTAATAAAAGAAAAAATGAAAATGTGCGTTATGTTTAAAGACATTATTAAACTAATCACTTTAAATGAAACGTTACATATTATTTTATTTAAATTATATTTTTCGCAAACAACAATAAGCTTTATTACATAGAAACCAAGTTTCATAAATGTACTTGCATTCGCACGCTCCATCTAAGGAATTTTAAACAAATTATTTTAAAGGTTAAATAATTTAAAACACGCATGTTTATATGCTAGCCTTGCTATAAAAGCACTGCTGTAATCGTATAAGAAAAAGCTTAATTGCTCGATACATACAGGCACTAAAACGAATTAAAAAACTAATTATTTACACATTTTACAAAAAGATTAGATAGAAGCTATGTAACGATTAACGAGCAAGAAAAAAACTGTAATAAACATTATCAGACGATATCTATTAAATAAATATGGTACAACATCATATACATAATATTACTATTCAAAATTATTTAAATGAAGCTTTTGTTTTAAGGGAATCAGGAAAAACTACGATAAAATAATCAGCCAGACCTTATTTATAAGTCAATTAAGGTAATTTTATAAGTTGACACGACCGGGGATCGAACCCGCACGCTTGTTACCACCTATATTTGTTTACAGCTAAGAAAATATTAACAAAAGTTTTTTTTTTATTTCACTTGTTATGTTTTTCTTATATTTATTTATAAAAAATACTGTAAAAAAATTGCATATTTTTGCATTGGAAAGGGAAGGATCACACTAATATTATAAAGGCAAAAGATTTAGAATATGTGAGTGTGTATGTTTGTTACTGCTTCACGTCTAAACGGATGGAGCGATTTTAATAAAATTTGGTATGGAGTTAGCTGGCGCCCTAGATTCACACATAGGCTATTTTCTTACTATACTATATACTTTTATCCCGAAAAATGTTAGGTTCCAGAGGGATTTTCAAGAAACTAAGTTAAAGCAGAGAAAGTCGCGGGCGACCTCTAGTTGTTGATAAAAACCAAGTCTGTACTAATAAACAACTTAGGCACCTACCAAACGTTTGCTATTCAGGTATTTAAGAATAGTATGTTATATATTGTGAACGCAACGTTTATACATTCCGTTATGTAAATATACATATAAAAACAACATCATTTATTTGCGAAAACCAGTTAATCAATGTGTTTCTAAATTAAATTGTTGTCCTTGTGGACCGATTTAGAGTGCGGCCTTGTAGAACTTGATTTAAGGTTTTATAAATAAAATTCTGATATATTAGGATACTTATTTGTTTTTGGAATCGAATTCTCTTTTTATGGACACTTTGACTTCTTTGGAATGAAAACGGGCAACGCAATCGTCGTCCATTTCTGAGAGACGATTATTACCAGAAGTGGGCAGCGTTCACAGTTCACTTCTCTACGCCACTTTCAGAGACTTAGTTTGCATTTAAAACAAGTATTACTAACAAATGATCGTAATATTAGTTTGGATTCCTGTGGGACTCTCCTTAAGCTAAAGTTAACGCGGGCGAGGACGAAGAATAGTAAGGTACTTTGTATATGAAAACATCATAGGATTTTGGCCCGATAAAAGAAAAAACGGTCAGGCAGGTGTCTCTAATGAGCACGTTTTTCTTTATTTTTACAGTAAACTAAATCTATTTTGTAGGGTTTTAACACGTTTTTATTAGGTTGACCTGTATGTAACTATGTAATGGAATCTAAGGTAATTAATTTAACCATCTTTTAAGGATCGTAGCGTAATAAAAATTGGCAGCTGTATGTAGTTCTGATGACAATACAATAATATAGTACTGTCGATCTCATCTGATGATGGAGCCGAAAGATATGAACTGGAACTTCATGATAGAACATCGTATCATAGCTGTTTTTGGATTTCTTAGAAAAGGCTTGTACTGAACTTTGACCACGATTATGTTTCAAGGTCTGATGATGAAGCTGGAAGATAGGCACTAGCATTGCATGATGGAATATCGTATCATAGTCGTGTTTGCACCTGTGGGAAAGGCCACGTAATGGACTTTGAACACAATCAGTATTCAAGGTTATAACAAGCCTATTATCTATTGATTTGTAAATATTGAGTGTAAATAGTGTAAATATTGACATAGGTGCCTGTATAAAATATATATAGACCTGTACATGGAGAGTGTACACAGAATAATATTGATATATACGATGTACCTATATTGACGTGTAAATAGGGTAGTAGGTTGTTAAAGATCCCACCCAAACCAAGGTGAGAAACGTGCCGAGGGCTGAATGGCATGTTAAGGGTGGTTAATAATATCATGTCGCTTGAACGCATTGAGGGTCGGAGAGCTGGACAGCAAGCATCTCGCAGTATTGCCGACTAAGGTCTCATCAAATGCTACTGTTAAATGTAAGTAATTTATAGATTCCTTTAGGAGCGTAGGTTCGTATCCTACCGGCTGCGCCATGTTAATATAAGTAATTTAAAGTAAAAGTTGTTAAAATAAAACCATTGCTTTTTGCGTCATCTCTGTCTAGTGACAAAAATATATTTCTTTATAAAAACATGACAATTTAAAAAAGTTTCTAATACAACAGCTTCAGAGTTTGCGTTTGAAAAAGCATTGCGTATTAAACTTTACGAACGAAAGGTACTCGAATGTACGACATAAAAGCCAACTTATTGCGCTACCTGAAACCTTAAAAAATACTTCATATTGGAGTCCATTATTAAGAATTTTCAAAGGGGCTAAAATCATTCCGAGTAGCCTCGGCTGCTCGGACCCCCCGCGAATGGATACGCATCCCCCATCTTCTCCCAGGAGAAGATCCGGGGAGACGTAGGCGACCGGGAGGGGGGAGAGGGACGGGAAGAACTACGCTTCCCCTTCCGGTCCTCCCTTCCAGGAACGGCGGCCCTCCTCATGTGGTTCTGTCTGCAAGGAGAGGGTGGCGGAGGGCTTTAGCCTTCCGCAGCGGATGGGGGGCGGTATGGTGGGCAGTAGGCCGCATACCCAGCCCCCACGCGCGGGCCTACCTGCGCACGTCTGCGGGGTCCCCGAAATATCGCGGGAGACCCCTGCCGTGGAGCCCCGGCGAGGCCGGGAAGCTGCTGGGGGCGGAGCCGTGGTAGAATCCCTATAACGGGGACCCTGCGGCTCCGCACTAAGCAGTGTAGAGGTATTCGCAGGACTTTTTTAGCGGATATTATACCTTAAAGCGCCCGTAAGAGTTGCGGGGTCCTCGGTGGGTAGCCACTGGGGGGTCCGTAAGACTTGCGGGAGCCAGGTGTGAGGTCCGTTCGGCGGTGTGCCTCTTACAGGCGCCGTCGACTGTAAAAAGATTTTTTACCTGCGTTTAAAAAAAAAGGGGGCTAAAATCATGTTGCTATTCAATATAGACGTGGAGAAGGGGCCAGTGAATGGGAGTATCGGATTCATCTCGGACATCGTCTGGCCGCACTTTAGACGCGACCAAATGTATGAAACCAACATACCGTCCTTCAAAGATTATTTCGGAAACGACGGGAGCACCTAATTCAGCCTATAGGCATCCAGTTCCCGGCCAAGTAATTTTAAGTTGGGCATCTACCGTGCACAAGATGCAAGGCTGTACGATAGACCACGCAGTAGTGTACTTAGGGCTCTAAGTCGAGTAAAATCACTGTGGTCTCCAGATTGAAGAGGTCGATTGTTCTAAGCTGACAGGTAAAATACCATGCAATACAGACGCACTGGCGGAGATAGAGAGGATGCGGGCTCATTCGCCTACTTAAAATAAATGTATAAGATATCATCACTACTGTCACTTCTTTGTTTATATTTAGTTAAGTATTATTTAATCACCAAAATTAACATGCACTTACAGTTATAAGCCTTGCTTACGTGGCCGAAAATAAAACTACCTTGAAATTTAAATTTGCGGTCGATGAAACCATTAAAACGAGCCGATTGCATTGGGGATCGATCCCCTCGCTCTATGCGTAAAGCAAAGCCTGCCGCGTAATTACCAACAAGGAGGCGCAAGCGCACGCGCACGCGGCGCAGGGTCGAGGCGCGCGAGCTGCGAGCGGCGCGCATTCGTGTCGGAATCAGCGCGCGAAGCGGATCGCCTTGCGGTTGCGGTCGTGCGTATTGTCTACGATACTATTCAATATTCGGTTGTTACGTGAGATGTCGAAGGACGGTTCGAGGTTCAGCCGGCTGGGCGTGCTGGCACCGGCGGCGCTGTCCGCCTGCATGGACGCATCGGTGCTGGCAGTGCCGGCCGCCGGAGCCATCGTCTCCACCGTACTCAAAGAACTGAGCAAAGCTTTTATGCTGAAAAAGTAAGTTGTGATCTTTCAGCTTTGTTAACAAGAACAGTCTGCTCATATGAGAATAATAATGTAACAATAAACAATACTTGGCTGAGATACCAGATTTTGACTGCGGTGAACTTTATATAATTTCAAGAATATACAAAGTATACTTTTGATAGTTTAGTAAACTTTTGATCCTTTCCTACCTAGGTTATGAGTATCCGTAGCCGTAAAATTGCCGCAAAAGCCTGTATCTCATACATACAAGTATTGTGTACAGTTAAATTATTATTTTAGGAATTAAATGCTGCTAGTACCTATGACCAACTACATGTACTAAATATTATCTAGTTCCGTTAGGTTTCTTTCTAGAGTGCTCCGGCGTGATCAAGTGATTGAATCAAACACGCTTTCGCGCTAATACCTAATATTCGCACAGTTGTTTTGATTTGGTAGTTAGGTGTCACATTTCGAATGTATGTAAACATAAAAATTCAAGGTTACCTAATGGCCATCTCGTTTCTCCGTAGAGTTGCTCGGTCACCGGTGTGCGGAAATTTCTACATCTTCGCCTCTCCTCGTGACCGCGATGTTAATATTTTTGTGCTATTTTACAAATATCATTGACAAATACTCAGCAGAACGCTAATCATTAATTCAATAACACATGTAAATCAAATGCCAAGCGAATGTTTATAACTGTTGCCAAAGATTCACATATTAAATTGATATTTTGCTTGCGTCTCTTTTGGAAGTAATGTATGTTGCATATAAGTTTATTGATAAGAAAACATTCGTAGGTACTTCTTCTTTGTAGAAATATTAAACAGGCCTTTTACTCGAGATTTGATAAGGTTCTTCTCTGAATATAGTCGCCCAAATCTACGTTACGACTGAAAATTAATTCGTCTTCAACAAAAATAATAGCAGAGGTTCAAGATCTAGACTCAACATTTTTTTTACCACAGCAACATAGTTTTTATAAAACATAATCCAAAATATTATGAAAGTAATGAAACATTTAAAAAAAAATGCGAAAATATTTAGTTTTGTCGTAATCACTCAGAAAATGGGTTGTAACTACTTATACCGCCCGATCAACGGCAATTTAATACATCGCGCGCTACAATCATAAGTAGCTGAATATCATATCACTTGAAAGATGCGGACCAGCAATAAAATAATTCGATATTCATGGAACAGACTTTGATTTTATAAGTACTAACTGGTCCGGCTCGATGAAAATAGAAATAAAACCCGATTGCAAGTCCTCATTTCAGGCAGTGCGTTGTAAATGTTAATAATATATTTTATAAAGCAACGTCAACGAAAGTTTTCTTAAATTTTCTTATTTTGTAAAAAGTAAAAAGCTTCCGCAAAATATAAAAAAAGTAATAAATAGATGGATGAAAACGGTAAAGTCGTTCTCTAGTTATGGCGTGACGAAGGAAAATAAGGATTTATTTTATATAGGTTTGCAGAAGATAGATGATTCAAATCTTCAATTCGCGTGTCACGGTGTGTAATTGAACTACTCCGAAACGGTTCGACCGATTATCGTGAAATTTTACATGCATATTCAGTAGGTTTGAGAATCGGACAACATCTATTTTTCATCCCCCTAAATGTTAAGGGTAAAACATGTCCACCCTTAAATTTCTTTTATGGACAAAATTTTTTGTTTTTAAGATACACAATACAAAAATACATACAACCCTAAATTTTCACCCTTCTATCACCAACCCCTATTTTTTATGGCGGTACGAAGTTCGCTGGGACAGCTAGTATTTTTATATAATCAGTGGATGTATGTTTGTTAGGCTGAAACGGCTCTAGCACTTCAGTAAAAATATTATAATAAATTCCGTAAAAACAAACTTTTCAACGCGGAATTCGCCGGTGTGATTTGAAATTTATATGATATTCGTGTTCGGATTGCGAAGTGAAAGGTGACTTTGTTCTTAGAGAATAGCACTACAGAACCCTTTAGTATCTGTGATTTTGTTTAAATTGCGTTCTAAAGTTTATGCCTGCCAAGCCGCGAGCAAAGTTTAGTACTCATTGTATGTATGTTTTGATGTTTGATTCACAATAATTAGATGATGGTCGAATTCGGATTAAATTTGGCACATATTTATTACCTGGATTAGAACAAGATACCTTCTTAATCCCTGAAATGTTAGATAAATATTAATTACAAGAGATGATTGGTCCAAAGATAGTATTCTCCAATCATCTTCTATTAAAAAATCCATACAAAGACATGCAGTGCCTAGAAGTAGTAGTTTTTATTTACATATGTACCTACTTAAGTTAATCAACGAAACTAGAACGATTTACTATGGCCTAAAAGCACGATCTAGCTGGACAAAATTATTTGGAACTATTAACTAAGTAGCTCCAAGAAATGATTTACACATGATTCGCCAAAATGTAGCAAATATAATAAAAACATAATTTATGTTTGCTATTTTTAACGCTAAAATATCCAAACCATTATGAGTTGAGCCGTGCTTAAGAAGATTAATATGACTTTGGTGCGACTGGTCAGATTTGGATAGAATTTAGTTTATAGAAACCTTAATCACTGAAGGATTAGTGGTTTAAATTCGGTCTGCTATCAGAGAAATTAGATTGCTCAGCTTCCATACATGTTTGGCCTAAAGACCAATAATCATGAAAAATTGTTTCCTAGATTCGAAATTATATATAAATTACTGTAGAAACGAATATTATTGACGGACACCCCTGAGAACTTCTATAAACCATATACACTGAACATATTAAAATAATAAAAAACAAATAAGTTATATAGTAAACTAGGGAAATCAAGCCAAGTACCGAAATTATGGATTAGATTCAGGTATATAGACCTTGTAGATTAACAGATAGTTGCCTGTTTTTAAAGTTAATGCTTAAGAGTAACTTTCAAAAAAAATCAGGTGTCATTTCCGGTTATAATAAGATACTCTGTGACAGAAACTGTGTGAATGAGCCACAGATTAGAGAGAATTTTTAAACTCTAGTTAGCCAAAGAAAGCTAAGAGATTTAGGTTCTATAGCCGAATATTCAGTAGTTCATTATTTTTGTTATGTTTTTAAGATAACCATATTTTAGATTTTTAGTGTATCACACCTTATAATTTTATTTATTTATTAATTTATAGTCAGGGAACGTAGGCCCATAGATAGATACCTTAAAGTCGAACATATATACAGATTATAATGTGTTTAAGGAGGTGTTTGGCGAAAAATGTATGGCAATAGACTTAATGATGTTGCCTACCATCTATAATAATTGTCTGAGCACATTTGCATCTAGTGAAAATGATAATATAGTGGTGGATATTAATACCACAGTGTATTAAAAAAAATGATTTGTTTTATCGATCTTTACAAAAATGATTTATTATTATTTATTTTTAAGTTATATAAACAACTTCGATCAGTCTTTGGCTGAATGTTACTACACCCATAGCCATTAAAAATGATTCGAATGTTTTCCAAACCGGTAATATTAAAAGTCATTTTTAAAGACTAGTAATAATAACTTAAATCATACAAACTTATGGATTAAAAAAAAAATGTACAGGAACAAGGAACCTAAAACTAAAAACCTTATAAAATATAATATAATAACTAAAATTAATATTATGTACAAGAATAATATTCAAATATCAAAAAAAAAGTAAATATATTATACAAAGGTGTCCGTTGAAATCTAATGACTGTAAATTAAATTATAAATTACGCCAAGAATTACCGCGTATGTCAATATTTTTTGTGCATTTAGGCCAATTTGAGCAAGCTCTTTTGGCAACTTTCGCAAAGGCAAATCATAATATGATAGGTGCACCACATGTGCCCCAGAATTGTAATATCTCGAGCTCCTTCGTGCTTCGAATGGCGTGTAGAGCGTTAGTTCTGCATATGTCGTAAAAACCTACTCACCAATCCGCACTGGGCCCCCGTTGTGGATCATGCCTCATGCATCCTATTTCATCCAGAGCATAGGTATTTTCTCTAACAGTGGGGACATTAATAGGTACTAAAACATACTAAAAACCCTTAACGTCAGGTAAAAACAGCGGTTGAAGCAGGATGTTGTTGCTCTAACAATAGAACTTTCCTAGCGTTAAGAGTTCATGATACGGCCTCAGCTTTGTTTTAAAGAATAGAACGGCAGCTCACTCCTTCAATAGGAGTACTTGTTAATTAACTTTGTAACTTACACAAAATAGGAGGTGGCCATTCTTCAGAGATGGGTCGTCTTTCCAACCGGTTCTCACACAGGAGTCAAACAGGCGCGCGCCCGCGTCATGATGAATGTAAGCCACACCATGTTCCTTCGAACGTAACGGCGCGGCACGCAGTGTATTATTTGTCATATAATAATTTATGTTCTATATATACAAGGGACCGCCCGTGGCTTCGTCTGCATTAAAGTTAGTTTTTTAAGAATTCCTTTAGGATTGTCAGAAACCTAAAATTTTTCCCTTACTAAAAGTATCAACGTGAACCTAGATTCTAAGCGATAAATTATACATTTAATTATATTATGGAAAAAATCATCCAACTTGTTCAACGTTTTAGTGTGAAAGAGTCACAAATATTCATGCACTCTCGCATTTATAATTATTAATATTAGTAGGATTAGTACAGTCGAGTATCCCATCAAATACAAGTTAGGATTTATTAAAAGCCATACAAAAGTCTTAATATTATTGAAAAAATACTATTCATTACTGACAGAGACATTACTGGTTGACGATATTATATTAAGAGCCAAGAACGATCAATTTTAAACTATCGCCTGGTTATGAGTTTACTGACTGCGGCCTAAAAAGGAAAGGATTATTGTCTACAATGTAAATTGTGTGATGCAGAAAGATTCCTACTTATACCTAGTTAGCGTGGGTCGTATTAATATAATACATTCCAACATGAATTTTTCAAATATACTTTTCAGATATGTCTACGCACAACACATCATTTACTGTTGCATAAGTTACTAATGCATAAAAAAC